ACTGGATGTTTTTTTTGGTTTTTACAATTCCAGCATGCTGTGGCCATCCAGTTTCCTTCTCCCCTGCCATCCAGACTGACCCTCTTACCTTTATGGTATAAAACATGCTGTTAAAGGAGGACTTACCTAAGCCTTTATCCTCTCTCCATTCCCTGTTGCTACCCCTATCTACCCCTAGAATGCAGTCGCTATAGGATAAATGGCATGCAGACCATCCGTCTCTGTCAAAGGATGATTGGTAGGATTGGCTCCCTACCATGATCTCAGTCAGGGACCGCTTTAAACAACTAAAGTTTATCCATAGAGTATATTATACCCTGCGGTGACTGGCTGCGATATATCTTGATAGATCGGTATCATGTCCTTGTTGTGATTTGGCGGATGGCACGTTTCACTATATGTTTTGTTAATGTACAAAGCTACGTCCCTGTTAGGCCAGGGTATTAGATACTATTAACGGTGTTGGTAAACTGTCTATCCCATGGATCTGCCAATTTATGTTGTTAGGCCTTCTTGGCCTAGTGGAGGCGTCTAAGCATAGCAAATTGTTTTGTCTAGTATTCTCTATATTATGCTAGAAGAGAAATTTTGTTGAGATGGAAGCTGTTTACCCTGCCCACGGTCTCGGGTTGGAAGTCGGCAATCAACGGTGCGCTTCCATTGTATAAACTTACATATATGAGCCGCAATTGTCCAGTTAATTTCGATAGAATATGGGCTGGGTGGGTGGAGGCACAGGGCCTTACGGTGTAATCATTGGGTGTTTTCACTTTGAGGTTGTGTCAGTTTGTACTATTTGACTTGCTACTGTTGTGGTACCTACTTTTTTCTTTAACCTTTTTTTTTTTTTTTCCCTCCCCCCCTCCCCCTCCCCCTCTCTCTCCCCCCCTCCCCCCTCCCCCCCTCTTCCCCATCTTGCCGTTCTCGCTCCTTTCTTTTTCATGAACCAGCTCACGTTATGAGATCCTCTTCTCAACTCCTTTCCCTTGTGGGTAGTTGCTGACTGTACTGTAATATGTATGTGCTCATTGACTGTGCTTAGGATAATAGGTTGACCTTGTAAGAATCTCAGCATTGGAAGTTTGTGTTTACTGTTTATCTACTGTATGTCATGAGCTTGACTGTTCTTATGTACCTTGGTTGTTTATAATTTTGTACAATTTCAATACACGCAACTGTTAAAATAAAAAAAGAAAATCGTATCAAAAATACCACTTTCGAATCGATACAGATACGGTGATTTAGTACACAGCTTTCGTCTGAAATTATTAGAAGGGACAAGCACAAACATTTTTCTCATACAATACCAGATAATATGACTTTTCGTTTAATGCTCCCTATTAGCTACATATTTTCTTTTAATTTTCCTGACTGCATTGTTTCTTTCGCTTGTTTTAATTACTTGTGATAGCCCATTTAAGGCTAGCTTACTCTTAAAGGGTTCTGAGTCATTCAATATCTAACCAGTATTACAGTCTCAAGGTAAGAAGCCTCCTTGCCACACACTTAGTGTGAATAGCATGGACAGTAACCAAGGCCATCTGTGTGTATACAAGTAGCACTTTACATTCAGCCAGACAGTGGGGGGCATTTTGATCCTCTTGACAAGCTATTCACAAACTTCCAGCTACACTTTTTTGTAGTTGATAAATGCTCTGATTGCTTGTTTATTTTATGCCCATCTAATTGTACCCGCAACCTCTGGAAACTTGCTTTAAAGTTTACACATTTAATTTGGTACACACAATGAGAATATCGGACGAATGATCGTCCATTTTTTTTTTTGGATGCTAGTCTCATTTCGAAAGTGAAGATGTTACCAAAGTTCCGAAAATTCCAGTATATAGAAAATCTTGTGAGCTGCTACACTAAGTACAGTTGTGTTCAAAATAATAGCAGTCAGACATCACTAACCTGATCAATCACTGTTTTTGGTTGAAATGATATTTCTACATGGCAAATCATTTACTAGCAGGTGTAGTAGAGTAATAGAAATCCAACAGACCCAACAGTCATGACACGCATGCTGCTGATTCTGTGTAATTGAATCACTAATTGAAAGTGGCATGTTCAAAATAATAGCATTGTGGAGTTCTATTAGTGAAGTCATTCATTCTTTGAAAAACAGGTGGCAATTATTGCCCTTATTTAAGGAAAGAAGGCAGCAAATTTTGTACATGCTGGTTATAGTGCATTTCTCTCTGAAATTCTGAGGAAAATGGGTCGTTCCAGACATTGTTCAGAAGAACAGCGTACCTTGATTAAAAAGTTGATTGGAGAGGGGAAAACATATAAAGAAGTGCAGAAAATGATAGGCTGCTCGGCTAAAATGATCGCAAATGCTTTAAAATGGCAACCAAAACCTGAAAGACGTGGAAGAAAGTGAAAAAACTTCCATTCGAATGGATAGAAGAATAGCCAAAATGGCAAGGACTCATCCAACAATCAGCTCCAGGAAGATCAAAGAAGGTCTAAAGTTACCTGTGAGTACTGTTACAATTAGAAGACGCCTATGTGAAGCCAAGCTATCTGCAAGAAGCCCCCGCAAAGTCCCACTGTTGAAAAAAGACGTGCTGAAGAGGTTACAATTTGCCAAAGAGCACATTGACTGTCCTAAAGAGAAATGGTGCAACATTTTGTGGACTGATGAAAGTAAGATTGTTCTTTTTGGGTCTAGTGGCTGGAGACAGTTTGTCAGATGACCCCCAAACACTGAATTCAAGCCACAGTACACTGAAGACAGTGAAGCATGGTTGTGAAAGCATCATGATATGGGGATGTTTCTCATACTACGGTGTTGGGCCTATTTATCGCATACCCGGGATCATGGATCAGTTTGAATACATCAGAATACCGGCGTTTTTGAGGTGAAATTGGTCCCATAGGAATGAATGGCGGAATGCTCAAAACTAGAGTGGGAGCTGAAAAATCAAAACATGATTTCTAAACTGCCATCACACCCTCATTTTCAAGCCCACCTACACAAATCTTATATCAAAACGTTCAGCTATCCCTGCTGCCACTAAAAATGTCCACGGCTAAGACATGGTCCTGAAAGTTTTCACAATATGACCATTTGTTTGAAACTCACGCCGCCCATTGACATTCATTGAAACTCCACTCTAGCCACCTCAAATTTGAAGGGCAATTTCTAAACTGCAACTGTGCCTTCATTTTTAATATTTCAGAAACATACTTTGCATCAAAATATAGGTCTGGGTCTTGTGATTCTCACAACATAAAGCTCTTCGGTGTAGGATTTATAATTTTTAAACTACAACCGTTTGAAGATGGCAACTGCCAGTGAAGTGAGCAAGTTGGAGCAGTTTGTTTTTAACCGCTCTTCTCTGCCCTTGCTGTAGAGTGAGTTGCCATAGGAACCCAGGTGTGAGAGCAGGCAGCAGAGTGACAAGCCACTCCACCCAGTTACTCCGCCTACTCCAGTTGTAGACTACTGGTGGAGGCAAGAACACTTCACACAATTTCCCCAGAAATTGTAGCTTTTCTAGTATATAATTAATGTACAATCTAGTGCCACGCTCCACTAACAATAAAAAACCAATATAAAACAACTTAGAACATATACAAATAAGTGTCCATGCAATAATAGAATCTATAGTTGTTTATATCCACTGATGTGTGGAAACTGAATACTACTTAGTATACCTCACGCAATATATTCAAGCCAATATGTGTACACCTCCACCGGTTGTGCTTTCACTGCTAAGTGAGGTCATATATAGCATGTGTCCCTTAGGTGGACTATGATATTGTGGTTGTGCTGTCCAGTGGATCTGGGTCTCCTTCACTGTCCTAGTTATCCTTCTCCATCAGATCAATGCCAAAAAAGATGACCAAAACATAGTGCTGTATCCTTACAAAACATTTATTTATAAAATATGCAGTATTCCATTCACATATAAGATGTGTATTAGCGCTTTGTACAAAGTATCTTCCAAAGAGTTCCACTATTGGTGTTTTGCTATTGGTGAATGATTCAATCATTTCCCCTGATTAAACCTCGTGACCCTGTGGCATAGGGGAGGGGCTTTGTCATCACGTTGCTCAGAAGATAGAGAGAAGTTTCAGCTGGCTGCGGATGAACGATTAATAAACATACACCGATAGCATTCTTTGAGAGATACTTTGTACAAAGCGCTAATACAAGTCTTACATGTGAATGGAATACTGCATATTTTCTAAATAAATGTTTTGTAAGGATAAAGCACTATGTTTTCGTCATCTTTTTTGGCATTGATCTGATGGAGGACAATAACTAGGACAGTGAAGGAGATCCAGATCCAATGGACAGCACAACCACCCTATCATAGTCCACCTAAGGCACACATGCTATCTATGACCTCACTTAGTGGTTTGGTCATATACATAAGGTGAGAGCACAACTGGTGGAGGTGTACACATATTGGCTTGAATATGTTGCACGAGGTGTAGTAAGTAGTATTCAATTTCCACACATCAGTGGATATAAACAACTACGGATTCTATTATTGCATGGACACTTATTTGTAGATGTTTTAAGTTGTTTTATATTGTTTTTTTTATTGTTAGTGGAGTGCTGCACTAGATTATAATTTAAAAATTCGGAACTGATGTAATGTATTGCATTTTGGATGAAAACAGTACTGATTAAACAAAATTTGTACGATCTGCTATCGCACGAGAAAATGTTACATGCTTGTTCCTTCTAATAGTTTCAGACGAAAGCTGTGTAACAATCAGATTATTGTACGATTACTTTGAAAGCAGTAAATTTTGTGCAAATTTCTGATCGTTTGTACTAGGCTTTAGTGTTCCATAGCTCAGTGAGGGCCTGCTACAGTGAGCCATTTAATATGTGGATAGCAGCTGGTGGTCAAAACACCACTTCATACAGTACTTCCTTCTTTGGCTTCCAAATGTAGTTTTGCCTCTTGGTGATTTAGTAATTTTAGTAATTTTACTGTTTATATTCGTTTAATAGGAGTTTTCCTTCTTTTCAGATTGTAATGTGAATGTGCACAAGGCATGCAAGGATTCTGCTCCAGCATGTACAAAGGTGATGGAAATAAAATATTTGGATGCTACCTTTACACCTCAGCATTCTGTAATAGCTGATGTGAACCCACATGGAAGGAAAATCTGAAAGGTGTCATTGCTCCTGTCACTTAGATTTTGGCTCCACATCTTGGTGAGCCACTGACCTGGAATCAGCATGCAGTATGGAAGTTCTGACTTTTTCAGATTTTACTGGCTATATGCTTGTTCCAGGTTACTGACTCACTAGGAAGTTAAACAAGAAGGAATGCTACTGTTTAGGATCCCATATCATTTATTGCTACATCTGGCTTATGAGACACACTTAGTGTATGCCAAGTCTTCAAAAAGCTCCATGAGGGTGGCATGGTGTGACACTTTTTCGTCTCTGGCTCATGACTTATGTTTCATCCTGACAACACAAAGCATAAAAAACAATTGGGTTTGCACATGTAAATGTTTGTAGATTACAAACTCACCAATTATGCAGTTGTTATTAGAAATTTCTTTTTAAACTTGACATTTACAGTGGGTATAAAAAAAATCACCCCCCCCCCCCCTCTTTAAAATAATCATATTTTGTTGCGTTGCAGCTTGAAATGAAGACACACAGTTTTTGTTTCCAGCTGTTTTTTCTCTGTGCACCTTATAACATCCAAGTGAAAGATATAACACCAACATGTCAGTAAAACAAAAAAAATCAAAAACAGAATCACGAAGTTGGAAAAAGGATCTCCCCCTTGTGTCAGTGTTGAACCACCTTTTGCTTTAATTACAGACTTTAGTCTGTTGGGATTTGTCTCTACTAACTTTGCACATCTAGACTTTGCAATATTTGCTCACTCTTCTTTGCAGAACTGCTCAAATTCAGTTAAATTTGATGTTGACTCTTTGTGGACTGTAGTCTTCAAGTCATTCCACAGATTTTCAATCGATTTTAAGTCTTATCTCTGACTAGGCCATGCCAGGACATGTATTGGTTTTCTGCCAGATTTATCGTTTAGGGTTGAGGCCAAATAATTCAATTTTAGTCTCATCTGACCATAACACCTTTTTCCATGCGGCCTGAGAATCTTTAAGGCCTTTTTTGAGGAGTGACTTTTTTCCTGCAACCCTCCCATAGAAGCCACATTTGTGCAGCATTTGTGATATTGTTATTACATGCATGCACACAATGACCACTCTTGGTCATCAATTCCTGCAACTACTTCAGAGTTGCTGTAGGTTTCTTGGTAGCCTCTCTGACCAGTTTTCTCCTGGCTCTTTCATCCAGTTTGGAGCATCATCCTGATCCAGGGAGGGTCTATGTGTACCATATACCTTCCACTTCTTAATAATAGACTAATAGACTTCACTGTGCTTCTAGGCATTGACAAAGCCTTTGAAATTTTTTTGTATAAATCTCCTGACTTGTGCCTCTCCACAACTTTAACCCGGAGATCTTTTAACAGTGCCTTGCCACCCATAGTTGATTGTTTGCTTCATTTGCACTACTGAGGACTGAAATGCTCCAGGAAAGCTGTTCTCATGCTGAGATAATCAAAATGACCACAGCTGATCACAGTTGAAAGTCAGATGGTTTTGTGTGCCATTGAGAAGGTGATTACCCACACTTGATTAAGTTTACATCATTTTTAAGAGGGGGTGATCCTTTTTCCAACTCAGTGATTCTGTTTTTGATTTTTTTTTATGACATGTTGGTGTTATATCTTTCACTTGGATATTATAAGTTGCACTGAGTAAATACAGCTGGATAAAACAAAAACTGTGTCTGTCTTCATTTCAAGCTGCAAATCAACAAAATGTGATATACCCACTGTATAATATATCAGCAATTAGATTAAACTAAAGATATGATATGACATCAATGCTGCTCTTGCCTTTATTAAACTACCAGCCAAATTAATGGACCATTTCTTTTTTTCTTCTAACAGAAATTTCAGGACCGGTACAATACAAAATACAAACCAGCCATCATTTCAAGTAGGTACATTTTATAACTATATAATTTGTTCTTGTTTTTGTGCATAATAAAGGAGCTGAGCTTTTTTGATTGGTCAGGGTTATATTGCTGTCTGAAAAAATAATAAAAAGAAGCGCCAATAAATCTACACAAAGCTGCAGTCCTAACCAAAAAAAGTTAACTATTAAAGTAATAAAGGAGTGCGCTAAATAAAATCACAAATAAGTAAACACAAAATAATTATTTTGTGTTTATTTGTGATTTTATTTAGCGCGCTCCTTTATTACTTCTATATTGCTGTCTGTCAAGCAAGGGAAATACACCACTGTGTTGCTATATATTAGGATCAGAATTATGTGGACAGGTTTTTTTGAAAAGTCAACATTTTCTTTAAAGCTGATCTCCAGGTATGATCTTAATTGCATACTTACATTGGTCCAGTTTGGACCAATGCAATTATGTGTTTCTCATACCTCAGTTACTGCTGTGGGAGAAAGGAAGTAGAGAAGAGAGTAGACCATGGATTGGGGAGCGCAGGATCAGTGATCTTGTTAGCAGGAGGATGATGGCACCCCTTATACAATGGAAGTCATGAAAGGTGAGTTTATTATCTATTTTACCCCCACTGGTACTATTTGTTTCAATGTATTTATTGAATTTTTCAAGGATGAATGACGCACTGGTACTTTTTATGCAGACTTTTAGGGAGGGAAGAGGGGCACCTTCAATATGTGGACCTTGCCACTGGGATCAAAGGTCCGTTTTAATGTCATAAATCTTGATTGATGTACAAGCCATATTCCAGCATGCATTTGCAGAGCGTTCAAATACATTCTCTACTTTTACAAGTGTATTGTTATTTATTATATAATTGTTTCTGCACTGTTAACAGATTCCTCATTCAAGGACATTCCTCAGCCGGTTCCTTCAGCAATGCCTCCAGTGACTTCTGTGTCTGTTGGCTTTTCTTCTGGAAAGAAAGATACTGCACAGTCATCCCATCCTTTATCCAGGAGTGTGCCTGTGCCGACCATGGACAGGTCTGTGACACCGATGTATTAAAATATTACACATCGGTAAAAATGGCAGTGGGTAGTCTGTGCAGGGGAGGGGTGCAGAAAGTATGACAATGGGTGGCATTTGCAGGTGATGAGTACAGATGGTATAAGAGGGCAGTATGAGTAAAGGAGGAGTAAAGTAAAAGAGGATCCTCCACTGGCAAAGCAAAAGTAGAATATTTTTTTTATATAGGATTGTCCTATTTTTTTTTTTTTTCTTCCCCCTTTTGGCCTGCTTCATAATTAGCTGTTGACTGATCCTAGCTTGTTTCCCTCCAAGCTCCACTTCATGTAGTAACCCCACTCTCAGTAACATTATTGACACTGGTGACAAATTCAGTTAGTTCTAACTACCGACAGTTTAACTAGTTGCCGACCGCAGATAGCCAAATGACGGCTGCACTGTGGCCGGCCAGTTCTGGGTGGACGTCATATGACGTCCCTCCCAGAACGCGCTCTCCTGCGCGCCCAGGGGGCGCGCACCCGGCAATCTCCGTAATGCTGTGTCCTACGGACACAGCTGATCACGTGATGTGGTAAAAGGCCAATCACAGCGGCCTTTTACCACGTGATCAACAATGACACGCTGATCACAGGGAAAATGCAACACGGTTCTCGGCTGCACTTTCCTCACGCTGTCAGATCGTGAGGAAAGTACTGCCGAGAACCGGCAGTTGTCAGAGCGAGGATCGGCACCGATCATCAGTGCCCTGATGATTGGTGCCCAGCATGCCACCACAAGTTTGCCCCACTGTGCCCAGCAGTGAGCCCCACTAGCTCCGCCCACCTGTGCCCAGCAGATCATCCACCTGTGCCCAGCAGTGCACCCACCTGTGCCCAGCAGTGCACCCACCTGTGCCACTCTGCAGTGTCACACACCTGTGCCCAGAAGTGCCACCTACCTGTGCCCAGCAGTGCCACCCACCTGTGCCCACCCACCAGTGCCACACCTGTGCCCACCCACCAGTGCCACCCACCAGTGAAGCCCAGCAGTGCCACCAGTCAGTGCCCAGCGGTTGTTGCCAGTCAGTGCCGCCAGTCAGTGCCCAGCAGTGATTCCAGTCAGTGCCGTTATCAGTACCCATAATCAGTGCCGCCTATCAGTGCTGCATATTAGTGCTGCCTATCCGTGACATTTATTAGTGCTGCCTATCAGTGCCGCCTATCCGTGCCACCTCATTAGTACTGCATATCAGTGCCCTTTAGTGCTGCCTATCAGTGCCATCAGTGCCTGCCTCATCAACACACAATCAGTGAAGGAGAAAAATTACCTGTTTGAAAAATTTTATAATAGAAACAAAGAAACTTTTTTTTTTTTTTTCCAAATTGTTTGCACTTTTTTTTATTTATAGCGCAAAAAGTAAAGTGCCCAGTGGCGATTAAATACCACCAAAAGAAAGCTCTATTTTTGAGAAAAAAATGATCAAAATCTCATATGGGTACAATGTTGCATGACCGCGCAATTGTCAATCAAATTGCGGCAGCGCTGAAAGCTGAAAATTGGCCTGGTAAATAAGGGGGTATAAGTGCCTGGTAGGCAAGTGGGTTAAGAACCTGTCGCTATGGCAGTGACAGATTCCTAGATTCGTAAAGAATTAGCGCCAGTTCACATATTAGGGAACTGGCAGTAACAGTACAACACTTGTGTCTATCTGCCTTATACTGGCACTACAGTGCCTTGAAAAAGTGTTCATACCACTTGAAATTTTCGTGTTACAACCAAAAACGTAAATGTAATTTGTTGGGATTTTATGTGATAGAGCAACACAAAGTGGCACATAATTGTGATGTGGAAGGAATATGATAAATGGTTTCAAATTTTTAAAAAAATAAATATTTGACAGTGTGGTGTGCATTTGTATTCGGCCCCCCTGAGTCAATACTTTCTAGAACCTCTTTTGCTGCAAATACAGCTGCAAGTCTTTTGGGTATGTCTCTACCAGCTTTGCACATCTAGAGAGTGAAGGTTTTGCAGATTCTTCTTTGAAAAATAGCTCAAGCTCTATCAGTGAAAATTGCTGTTCAGAGACACTCTACATGCAGATTCTCAATTGGATTTAGGTCTAGACTTTGACTGGGCCATTCTAACACATGAATATGCTTTGATCTAAACCATTCCATTGTAGCTCTGGCTGTATGTTTTTAGGGTCGTTGTCCAGCTGGAAGGTGAACCTCTGTCCCATTCTCAAGTCTTTTGCAGACTCTAACAGGTTTTTTTCAAAGGTTGCCCTGTATTTGGCTCCATCCACTTTCCCATCAACTCTGACCAGCTGAATAAAAGCATCCCCACAACATGATGCTGCCACCACCTATGTTTCACGGCTGGGATGGTGTGTTCAGGGTGATGTGCAGTGTTAGTTTTCCACCACACATAGCGTTTTGCTTTGAGGCCAAAAAATGTAATGTCATGGCTTCTCGCAAACTGCAAACGGGACTTCTTATGGATTTCTTTCAACAATGGCTTTCTTCTTGCCACTCTTTCATAAAGGCCAGATTTGTGGAGTGCATGACTAACAGTTGTCCTGTGGACAGATTCTCCAACTGGAGCTGTGGATCTCTGCAGCTCTTCCAGAGTTACCATGGGCCTCTTGGCTGCTTCTCTGATTAATGCTGTCCTTGCCCGGCCTGTCAGTTTAGGTGGATGGCCATGTCTTGGTAGTTTTGCAGTTGTGCCATACTCTTTCCATTTTGGATGATGGATTAAATAGTGCTCCAAAACTTGGGATTTTTTTTCTGTTTCAATATTTTTATTAAGAAAGTTTTGTTTTAAGAATACAACAAGCTCAAGATGTACCCAGGCAGGGGCAGACCAGAACAATAACACATAAATAGATACATCCAGCTGACTTGTATTAATCAAATAATGAAGGAGGGACGGCAAAAAGCCGAACCAAATATTAGCAGCAGTAATCCAACATAATAAAAAAAAAGGAATCAGAAAGAAAACATGGAGGGAAGGGAAACTAGAAGAATCACAGATCCATTGCTAGCACAGGCAGTAGCTATAAGAGACCATAACTAGTAGGAGGCAGGGATGGCAAGGAATAACATATCCAAGATTCCCAAACCTTAAGGAATCTCGGAAGAGAATCAGAAGAATGCTAGACATCTGTTCATTGATCAACATAGCATTCATCCGGGTCTTCATCCCCTGGAAAACAACCGAAGGGGTTCTCCAAGCTTGAGCTATAGCACGTTTCAAATTAGTCCCAAATTAGGATATTTTTTTAACCATAACCCCTGCTTTAAACCTAACCCTGCTTTAAACATCTCCACAACTTTATCTCTGACTTGTCTGGTGTGTTCCTTGGCCTTCATGATGCTGTTTATTCACTAATGTTCGCTAAACAAACCTCTGAGGGCTCACAGAACAGCTGTATTTATACTGAGATTAAATTACACACAGGTGGACTCTATTTACTAATTAGGTGAGTTCTGAAGGCAATTGGTTCCACTAGATTTTATTTAGGGGTAACAGAGTAAAGGGGGCTGAATACAAATGCACACCACACTTTTTAGATATTCATTTGTAAAAACTTTTTGAATACCATTTATCATTTTCCTTCCACTTTACAATTATATGCCACTTTGTATTGGTCTATCACATAAAATCCCAATAAAATACATTTACATTTTTGGTTGTAACATGACAAAATGACAAAATGTGGAAAACATCAAGGGGTATGAATACTTTTTCAAGACGCTGTGTATCCACCACAACATTTGCATTTTGCAGAGCAGAGTAGGGACTGGCCAGCGAGGGATTACTTTAATACAGTTGGCCAGTTTAAACATGTATTGCAATGTATGTGAACTAAAAATCCCTGTTTATTGGCAAAGTTTGCTAAAAAGGGTGTATAGCAGAGTGTGGAGGGTTTATCCAGAATTTTTTTTTTTTATACAGAGTTCCATTCCCAGCCCCATTTAGCTAAATGTAAACAAAGGGGCTGGGATATTGGTGATGCCATTCCTCACATATGGCAATGCCCATATTTGGGAAATGACTTGTGTTACTGGGTGAGTGGAGCTTTACAACAAACTGAGAGACTGGGTTCCCAGTGAGGTCAGTTTTACCTATGTTTGACAGTGCAATGGCAGTGGGTGGATTTGAAAGCTACTATTGGACTGAATAGCTGCTATAGGTCTGTCCACTACCATGCACTGTCAATCAACAGCAAGGCTGACCTGATAGGGGGCTAGTCTCTCAGTTCCCATCAGGCTCTACTCACCCCTAAAACAAAACTCCTTGGCCATGCGTCTGTGATTAGGAAAGCTGGAATATAAACATGACAGTCAGACAAGGCCTTGTTCCTACAGGCAGTAAAAACAAGTGGTTCAGCTGTGCTTTTCCTGCCCCCCAACTGCTTACCTCCAGTGGAACATGGTGGCCACTCATGCAAGCCCTCCTAGATTGTAAGCTCCAAGGAGCAGGGCCCTCCTTTCCCTCTGGTATTGAACTGCATTGTTGCTGTATTGTCTCCTTTTATATTGTAAAGCGCTGAGCAAACTGTTGGCACTATATAAATCCTGTAAAATAATAATAATAATAATATTGCTGCGGCCACAATGCACAGCAGTTTTCAACTCCGCAAACAAAGTTTGGCATGCAGTGTCATTTGACAAACTCGCCTATTGAAGTAAAATGGGACTGCGCAGCAACTTCTTGGTTGTGGCGCGGTAATTCAATGTATAAAAAAAAAAAAAAAGAAAAACTCATGACAGCCCAAAAAACACCTTTGAAAAGTGATCCACTGTGAGGAGGATGTACAGTTGTAAGTGACATTAAAAGTGTGGTGAGACTATGGAGGAAAACCAGCTGAGAGCAGAACTATGGAAACCAAGGAAATAGAGTTTTTTTGAGGGGAAGGGGGTGGTCAATTGTATCAAAGGCAGCAGTGAGGGCAAAGTGTAAGAGTACAGAGTAGTGACCATTGGTTTTAGCGGTTAGTAAGTCATCAGTGAGTTTTTGAAGTGTTGCAGGCAAAATACAGACTGAAATGGGTCAAGAAGGCATCAGCGAAGTGGTAGCTCAGTTGGTTGTAGACTAGGTGTTTCACTAGTTAAACTTAACTGACCCAGTTTCTGAACTCAACACACCAAAAAGTACTGTATGTCTATTCACATATATAGTTTGTGGTAAGAATAAAATGACTTTAGGATTGTATTTTGATCTAAAACAGGGAATTTGACTGCTTTTATAGACACTCAAACAACTATCCTATTGCTGAAGCCCATGTCATGATCAGACATATTGTTCACAATACTGTTTCTATTGGAAGATTTAGTAATTGTTTATGTTGTAGCCATCATAGAGATTTAAGCTAGGACAGCATTATCTACTGTATTCCCAGAGAAAATCTGATAATGTACTTTATCAATTTTTAGGAGATTAGATCAGTCATTGGAATCTGATGGTGACACAAGTGGCTCTAGATCCAGGTCACAGTCGGATGAACTGTTACAAAGTCTGGGGACCCCTCCATCAATGGATGCCTTTCCTATTGAAGGTTTAATTACTGTTATTCTTAACATTCATTTTTTATTGGTTTGTTTGGTGTTCTGTTTTATATGATAACTCAACAAAGCTGTTTTTGGAACCTGCACAAATCTAAAGAATCCCATTTAGTACACATCTACTGTACATTCATTGAGCAACTGGAGAATCAATTGGTTTCTAAATAGTCAGCATCCCTGCCTTCCAGCTCTGTGTTGAGTCCCCACCAGATAGTCTATCTGCATGCTTTTATATTTCTCCCCATGTTTGTATGGGTTTCCTCCAGGTGTTTTACTTTCTCTCATCATGCAAAGACTTATCTGTTGCCACTATTTATATAGTTTCAATAATCTGTATACGAGTACCTTCTGCAGGCTTCCTACCTATGTGCACCAGTCCACACCTGCCAGCATTATGATTAGAACAGACTGAAGCACAATAAATTGAATATAAATATATATACAGTGCTGACATACTGTATTATACAGAACTTTACAAAATACTTGGATTAATTGCCCTCGATTTCTGTCCTCACTACATTCACTAGAGAACTTATGCCTAGAGAACATGCACCTAGAGAAAATCCAAGTTATTAAACTATAAAGCATGCATCTTCAATGTAGACTGTGTGGTTGCATGCTTCAGTTTTTATAGTTAGCGTGTCAGTAACCAGGGTAAAGCAGCCACATTGCATCAAGAGCTCTAATAGAAACGGACAGTGGTAATCGTAACTTTATAACTTGGTTTACTTATATATGTTTACCACTTCTCAAGGTAGAGAGATTCCCAATCTACAAGCACATCTCCTCCTTTAGGTGCTAGCCCAGATCATGTGCTGCATTGATGAGAACAAAGGAAGTCCTTTTACAGAGCTGGGGTAATGAATAAGCGCTGTCTTTAGCATGTGGCGTGTTTACCTGCCAGACGCCTACTGTATTTCCACTGTCTGTATTGGTTTTATCTTGGTTCAATAAAGTGGATTATTTGGAGTGCAGCCCAATGGACTTCCTTTGTTCTCATTTGTTTACCTATGCTTTTACCAAATGTTATGACTACCAGGGGTGGACTGACCATTTGGAAACTCGCGCACTGCCCGAGGGCCTGGGGTCAGTAGGGGGCCCCATGAGATGCCCCTGGTACCTTTTTTTCATAGGCTTTTTTGTGTTTGGGCAAGGACACAGGGTCCCCATGATCCCCTATTGCCCAGGGGCCCCATGAGTTGTCAGTCCGCCCCTGATGACTACCATTTGTTCTGTTTAAAATGCCACTTCATGCATTGAGATACCTCCTTTTAGTCTGTCTAGACTATATGGCTACCTGCTGCCTTGGTGCCATCCACAGGCTGCTTAGCTCTTAAATAAGACGATAAGTGCAGTGCAGAGGATGCTTTCTTATAATTTTTAAGTGTAAGAAGACAATTACTCTCTATACCTTGTTCCGGCCATTACTAACACTGATCAGGAATGTACCAACTAGCACTGAACAGGAAGGGAGAAACAGAGGAATGTACCAAGTGCAGAGGTAAACAACAGAAAACACATCTTAGATGGCAAAGAACAGCTTTCACTGTTAACTCTTATTAAACAGTATGCCATGGAGTCCATTGAGCTATTGGCATTAACCTCTTCCTCCCTGTAGAGGTTACATGTTCCCACAACATAACTGTGATAGTTTGGGTGACACACAAACCAACTAACGTGCCAACCAAGAAGCAAGTAGAATTAACATACCTGTGAAATGACTGCAGAGGTCCAAATGACTCACATAAATTGTGTGACTGTATGTCCTTATTATTTTGCCAAGATGTTGTTGTGGATGCGGCCCTATGGAGTGACTTCAGCAGTGACGCTCTAGAGTTTGAAGCCGAGTCATGGAGTTTAGTTGTGGATTCCTCCTTCTGCAATAAACAAGAAAAAGATGTGATTAAAAGGCAAGATGTTATCTATGGTGAGTAGATTTGTAAAATCACAGACTTGTAATAGTTCACTGTGATGTCACACAGGCCTTGTGCTTTTTTACAAGTGTATCTGGTATGTTTTGTTTTACTGCTTTTCCACCGGTAAATACCTGGATATGTAATCCACATGCAAGCAGAGGCTCAAAGGTGCTTCTCTGTGGCATGTACAGCTGGCCATACAAGTGACATGACTCCTGTGGCTCCCTGGGTGCATCACATCTAAACATCTAAACATCCTGGTGCATGAGGCCTTAGGCTTGGCATATATTTTTTAAAAGGGACTCTTGGAGGAGATTTACTAAAACTGTAGCACTCCAAATCTAGTGCAGCTGTGCATCTCAGCCAATCCATTTCTAACTTCAAGGATAAACTCACTTTTGGAAACATGTTACATGTTCCACTCGTTTTTTTTTACGGGGGGGCATGTAACATGTTTTCACTGTTGAAGCCGTCACCTGCTCCGATGCATCTAGTTACAGCTAGTGAGGGATCTTCTTCTCCCACTAGCTGTCACTTTTAACAAAAAAAAAAAAAAAAAAAAAATGTGGCTGAGCAGGGCTCTGCCTATCACACCATGTCATTCATTCACTCTATGAATGGAAAACTACAAGTACCTACAGCCTTTGTGGCTATTGGCTTGTAATTTTTAATAAACTACCAAGGCACCATTGAACGCTGTGGTAATTCATTGATTCTTTCTGTCAGTGTGTATCTGCTTGCCGTACGAGCAGATAGATAGGCTGACAGGTCTGTAGGAGTCCTGCCATGGTATCCGCAATCTGCTGGTCATGGGGGCAATGCTTTCTAGGCTCCTAGTGTAAAAGAAAAAAAAATTATAATAAATAAACATTTTTTTTTACTTGCAAAAAGAGGTGCATTTATTATTTTTTAAAAAAGGTGAACTTATCCTTTCAGCTTGTTCAATTAAGCAGCTTTGACAATAAAACCTGGAAGCTGATTGGTTTCTATGCAGAGCTGCACCAGATTTTGCACTCTCCAGTTTTAGTACATCAACCCTTTAGCTTCCAGCAACATTTAATAACTCTGAATGGGCAGAATTATTAACAAGGTCTGACAGTAAAATCCCATTCATTCCTCTATAAGTTTACACCTATGCATATGCAGCTTGGCACCATTGGAAAAAATAGGACACTTTAGGGCAATTTCGTGCATTATCTTGCAATAAACGAGCCTTCTAATGGTAAAGCTACAAAAATGATATCAAATAGTTTTTCAGCATGTTTAGTCCCGCTATACCATCTATTTTCTGGAAAGTTAATTCCCTACTTTGCCTAACATTTAAAATAAAAATGCACTTAAAAAGAAAGTGCTGTACTATTGGTACACCTACCCAACCCCTCCAGTCATACAGCGCTTTTTATTGTGGAAAACTATAGTACTGCTTTTGGGAATGGAGCATGGGGGTGGAAATGGCAGACATAGTCGGCACTTTTGACGAGTGCCTGTGTCAGGTGCAGCCACACATATTAACCCCCACAGCATCAGAAGGTCACCACTAAGGGGTATCCAGGGTGCAGACCAAAGATTTCAAGCATGCAACAGCCACCAGCATGAGGGAAACTTCATTGTAAGTACTGTTCCTAGTGCTGAGTTAAAAAAAAAAAAAAATCACACTTAAGGTTTAAAGTATGAAAATGTAGGTCTTTTTTTTTTTTTTTTTTTTTTTTTCCTTTATGGATAGAGTGGGGTAATCACAGAACCACTGTCATTTTGTTAAAGCTTTTAGAAAGGGGTAGGGATCCCAATTTTTACAGTTGTCACTGGAACAGGAGGTGAGGGGATATCTTCCAGTGGAGAAAACTGCTTCAGCTGCTACAAATGATGGAAATTTCTTCTTTGAAGTGATCTCCTTTCTCTTCCTGTTGTGTCTGCATGATAGGAAGTGGAACGAATCTCCCCAGTGGAACATGGACCACACAAAATAGGAAAAGAAAAAAATTGCAGCAGTTTTTTATTGACACTTTGTTCTGCTAAAGTAGTTCTATAATTTGAAAAAGCCTTCATATTTCACATTGGTCAAGTAAAGTGTTAAAGTGGTTGTAAATCTCTGAACTAAAAAAAAATGAACAAAGCATATCCTCATATAGTCTGTACTCAATCTATAGCACTTAGTGTGGGTCCTAGCTGCTATCTCCTTCCTCTGCTACTTGCGTGATTCACTTCTGAGGGTAAATTCAGACTACTTATCAGTAAAATCACATAGCAGCGGAAGAGATTCAGTGCTCCGGCCAATCTGTGTTGCCAGCTGGTTAGGGGGCAGTGTGGTGCACAATTTAGATTTTCTGTACAAGCTTTATTTGAAGTGTGCAAAACATACACTTCATGCATGCGCTGCCCTGCCTGACATTGGAGTGCGATTAAGCCTGGTGAGCTGCAATAAAATTGAATTGACCCTGACAGTTTTTTCAGACACAAGGCAATGCTTGAAGAAGGCCCCATCTTCCCCTTTAGCACACAGCATGTGATTGACAACCGCAGATTTGCATGTTTTCTAATGAGGCTGTGAAAAGAAGGGAGGGGTGTGTCCTTTCTCCCCACTCTGTGATACATATGTGACATGGGTGTATAGAATGTATGTATGATTGACACTCAATTGCCATAATTTTAGTAGGATACATCAGTGAAGGGGTAACTAGAGTTTAGAATAATAAGACAAGGACATTGTTAAAATCTATCAAAGCTAGATCTATGATTCATAGTTACCAGATGTGTAGTCGCAATCAGTCAAGGATTTATAGTTACAAGATATAAAGTCGAACAAGTCAAGGTTAATAGTCACAATAGTTACACAGAGTCTACTGCGCATGGCAGTAGACAAGGACACTGCAAATTATGTATATAAAAGATGGGGGATTCTAGGGGAATTCGGGACTTATTGAAGACGCGGCACACGTGCCTTGTGGTGATTTCCCCTTTGCTGGTTGCTGAAGTCCCCCAATCGTTGGGCAATGGGTGATGCTACAATATCCGGTGATGTATTGATGCTTTATTCTTGCTA